CTCGATTTATTCTTGAAAAAAAAAACAACTTTTTTTTAGGATCACAAATCATTTATGTTGACCAGGCTCTTCAAAGGAGAAATAACTTTGACAGAACAAAAATTAATTTGATCTGTCAAAATACAACATTGGGGAAATGTTGCATTATGCCGTTCTGTCGTCAAGGGAGAGCCGAGATAATAATACCGATTATAATACTGGAGATGCTGATAGTTTGAATAAAATGGTACACATTTCGGAAGAGAAATAATCACTTTTATCGCCACAACGATGATGGTGTTGATGTCAACTGTTTAGATGCTAGTGATCTTTCCAGAACAAGAATAGCTTGAAAGTCGTGTTGGCGATAAAGATTAAGCCACGTTAGTTAATGTAACGATATATCAACACTTTATCTAGTATAAGACTAAAAGAACAAAAATGACAATAGAAAGGTAGATAGGAAAATCAGAAATGCGCCCATCGGCTCGATATACAAGTGACTCAAAATAAGTAGACACGGGTTCAGTTTACATGAGGAGCAAAGCTCTTTCTAATAACGATGGGAGTTTCCTTTTTAATTTTTTTTTTTTTTTTGGTATTTTTGAATGCTAACGCTTTAATTAGTTTATTCTTCTAGTCACGTGGGTTATCCATTTTTGTTATTACCATTGCGATCTAAGTCGCCACACAAAGGAATCGATTTTCGTGACCAGTTGCTTTACTCAAGGCGACCAACAATAAATGTTCAAGTGATGTAGTTTTTTTTTGTTATTTGATAAAGCTCTTCGATTGTGTAGTGTTAGTCTCTATTGCTCTGCTTCCTTTTTTTCTTTCAAATTGTCCTGTGAGTGTTAAACATTCCAAACACACTTTCCTCACAATATGCAAACAGGAATTTGTCTTCTCTTTTTGATTTTATGTATAAATGTCCTCGTGTTCATTTCTTTAATATTTTTCCTTCTATGTATATAATATATATCATTTTCTTTATAAACTACACATTGATGGGGAAAAATACAACACCTGGAAATGCAATGGCGATTTGACCTGGATACTTATCTCTCTGTTAGTGGATAGTAAAAATTCTGTTAGGATTCTTCAGCCATCTCGTGTCGTAGTAAAACTCCTACTAGTGAATGTTTTGTGTCTAAATTTTAGCCGATGAAACATGCTGCGGTGAAGTCCATGATAGTGAATGATTCCAGGTGTCATTTCATGGAGTTCCACACGGGCCCCCCTTTGTTCATTTCGTGTCATTTGAGAACGGTCAGGATAGGAACCATCAAGAAATTGGATCAATATTTCGCAAATGGCTGTACCTTCGATCTTGTAGCGGATCGGTGATGGCTCAATGTTGGCAGCAGTATTTAAATGAACATGCCTACTCCCAGAGACCAGTTTGTACACGATCGCGTAGTACAGATACTCGACAAAATTCTACATTATCAGGGCAGAATTGGCAACAGCATTGTTCGAAGTATAGATGAAAGCAAATGTAATCCAAGAAATGTTAGAGACATGGCGTGCCTACACTAAACAAAAAATACAGATTTATTATGAAATATAAAGTTTTTAAAAATGTCAATTTAATTTAGATGTTTAACTTCATGGACGAAGTTCAATTGCTATTATCTGAGGCATGTATAATTACCCCTGCCTTTCAAATTCTGTTTCCGCAATATGATGTTCATCTGCTGTAGACGTTCTCGCAAGCCATATTTGTGTTATATAAGAATAAAGTGTCGCTGCTGACACTCGAGTCTGAACATAGATCGCTAGTGAGCAAACACAGACGATCCTATTAGGAAATTAAGTAGCCCACGTGACCATAGAGGAGACGCATAAGTAGGAAGTCGCGTGACGTCTAATTGATCGCATTTTCTAGTCTATCCTCTATAGTATACGGACCGCTGTTCTCTACTCTATTCAGTGTACTATTTCTCTTTTCGGATCACTATACGGATTACTATTCGAGCGTGTATTATCGAGCAAGTACTATTAGTGCGAGTGCTATTCAAAGGCGTCTGACACCAGCATTGTTCAACGGCGTACTATAGTTGTATCTGCGATTACAAAGTTTCTACTACAACGAGCATTACGAAAGTGACAACGGGTACTTGTTACATAATCGATCATAAAAAACATCAGAAAATCTTTCTCCGATTCTAGTTTATATAACTGAGTGAGAATTTTATAAATTTAGATACATGATGAGTGTTTACACGAGAAGCTCTGGAGTTGGTCAAGAAGATAAATTCATTGAAGGATAATTGATTTATTGAATACTAGCCGAAATAGCCGGCATTGCCCGGGTGGACATGACTGCAATTATATAACAGCACCTCCAGTATACTTGCACTCCTCTGTCTAGAAAAGTCTGTCTGCATCCCCGCTTGCATGCATCATCCGTTGGTATACTAAGCTACTCCTCCCTCATCTTTTTTACGGTATCTCCTTCGTAAGAGTTTGATTGTTCTTAATAAAGGAATTCCACCAATAAAACGTCTTGTGTGGTCGTTGCTCGGGGTTAAATTGTTACAATGTTTTAGATATTCAGTAAATTTCCTATGGCCGTAATAACTTTGAAATAGCATCAAATAATCAAACAAAAACAGGGATGAAGTGTTAGAGCTTGATTCAACTGCAAGTACAAACGCATGAACGCCCCATTCTTTCTTCGCACTTTTATGGTAAGGCTGGGGTTTCTTCTGGAATTTTTCCCTTTTAATGCTCCAGTAATCTTTCTCAAACAATCTTTGCATGAAATGTTGTTCGAATGCCAATTTAGGATGGAATCGTATGAAGAAACTATTGGCTAAATGGCAAAAGCTGATTTTAGACCTAGTATCTTGCAGATTTCGTCCACTGAAATAATCTAAACCAAACATTTACGCAAGACAATTTACGTGTCAAAGTGAATTTACATGGCAAATTTGGAAAGCATCGGATAAAAATGCAGGGAGTTATAGTTTTTCGTGGGTTTTCGTTATACGCGGGGAACTGAGCAAAACTAAAACCTAAATCTTATTTCTTGTATGATGGCCAATTATTTGCGACATGTTTGTAGAAAATCGGATAAAAAATGAGGAAGTAATTCAAGTTTTTATTTTAAGTAGTACAAAAAACCCCGATTTGTTCACTGTTTTTTGCAATTTTTGTGTGAAGCCAATGTCGCGGGAAAACTATCAAGCACTTCACAAAGACCTCGTTACATGAGCAGTTTTGCATTAAGCGCAAAGAACATCAGCTCATCCAGCAAAAATTTTGTTTGCGTGGAACTTTGCTTTGGTTTTTGCAAAAACTTGTACCCACCTTCAGTTTTATCAATTTTTCTGCTAAACCCGGTCCGTTTAAAAATTCAAAAGTTGATCTTGTCCTATGTTGGTAAATTTGCAATATGTATGAACAGTTTCATCGAAATCGGTCGAGAAATGTGGTCGTGCATAAATAGCATACACGCACAAAGATATATTCTGTTTTATAGATATAAAATAAAGGTCTAGTTAACTATTGAGCAATTTTTGGTAGAAATTCTGCTAACCTGCAAAATACGTTAAATTCTCGTAATTTTCCTGTATTTTTTTTTTTTTTAGTTGTATATAAAAAGTGACGCGTTTCGTCTTTTAGTACTTCATCTGACTAAAGAACAGACGCAACAAACGAAAGCCTTTTTGAATTTGTCCTAATTCTTTTCCCTAAAATGGTTCTTGATATATAGAAATTGTATGTATTCTTTCTGGGATGAAGTAATTCCTTATGAGAACGAAACGCGTCACAAATATTTTTTTCCATTTTGACATTTATTTACTCACTTTTCTTATCTATGAGTAAAGATAAAAAGTGATGGAATTGTGTTTAAGATTTTTTTTTTCTATCGCTCTCAAGATCTCATTCGATTAAATATAAAACGTTCTTTCTTCCACTTCATGTTTTCTCTTTCATTAGCTCTCTCTCTCTCTCTATATATATATATATATATATATATATATATATATATATATTCGCAGACAGTACTGTATCACAGCTCATTAGTGCGACTAGACATCTGAATGCCTCAAGCCAGGATCGAAAACCCAACCTATTTGGTGTCAGTCACAGCTTCTCCCACTGAACTATCTTCATTCAGTAAAGTGAAACAGCTAAATCTAACGTATTTTTTTTACGAATGTAAACAAATGTTAACCAGCTAGAGTGTTCTTTTCATTTCAATGAAGAGCTTTGCATTAACGTAGGTGGATGTTGTTTAATATATATCAGGGCATCTGGTTCACCTATCACTACCGAGTATAGATTTCGGTCTACACTGTTTGCCAGAAACAAAAAAATCAGTTTGACATGTTGCAAAGAAACAATTCACTGTAGCATTTTTTTCTTTTTGTTTCTCTATATACCCATTTAAACATCACTTCCTGATAATTCTATATTCTCTGTGTGCGTGTGTCTGTCTGTCTGTCTGTCTCTCTCTCTCTCTCTCTCTCTCTCTCTATATATATATATATATATATATATATATATATATATATATATATACACAGAGAGAGAGATAGTAGAACTCCCCAAATCTGAACATACCATAATCTAGACTTTGACGAATTTGGATTGGTCTTCAAATCCGAACTCTTGAATTGACATATGAAGCGTTTTCTTCCTCAAATCAGAACAGTACCCTCAATACCAAACACATCTCAGATGTTCGGTTTACAGGAGTTGTACTGTATATCCTTATTTTTGTCTTCTTTTACAGATTGTAATTGTTTTTGACTAATATATTCCATACATTTTTAACATTTCATAAAGTGTCTTAGTTTTTCACAAATTACAATGTTTGTTTAGCACATTTTTTCATTACCGTTAGTGGTCAATTATTTTTTTCGGACTACACTTAAAATAAAAACGAATCAACGTTACAAACTACCTTTTGTAACCTAAGCTCTAAAACTTAATGAAAAATTTAAGCTTGCCACAGTAGCCTTTTCTTTCTCGAATCTGAACAGTATACTCAATACCGTACATCTCGAATGTTCGATTTAGAAGAATTGCATTGTATATATTTTCTTTTTATTTGTATTTGTGTCTTCCTTTTCTCTGTTTATTTACTCTTTCTTTCTATTTTCGCCATGACCTTATCTTTGTTGTTTTTTTATTTATTTTGACCCTTAACCACATTTCTTTTTTCAAAATCCATTCTTCTTTCTGCAGTAAAATCTCCATTTCCTTATCTCGATCACCTTCTCTTTATCCTTCTCTTCATGTTTTTTTTTCTCTCTCTCTTTAATTCCTCTTCTTTCTCTTTATTTCTCTCCGCAATCTTTATATATTTCATGATTTCTCTTCACCTTCATCTTTGTTTTCCCATTCGTCCTCATTCTCTAAACATTTATCTCTCTTTCTGTCCCGCCATTATACTAACAGCTCACGATTTCTTTCGAGAAGAAAGAGAAAAGGTGATGATTAAGGATTGAGCAATTATAAAGGTAGAAAGAAATCGATAAATACAAAGATTGTTGAGTCAGAAAGAAAGAAAAATAATGGTATTTTATTTAGTTGGAAAAAGGTAGATAGAATGAATGGGTATGAAAAATGAGGAAACCGATAAACTGAAGAGAAATCGAGTGATAATGAGCTTTTAGAGGGAGAAAGGAGAGATTGGTGATAAATGGTAATGTCATGATTAACTGTTTCCTTATAAGGAAACATTCGGCATTCATTGACTGACCAGTTAGCGTAAACAAATTTATTATAGGAGATAAGGAAATTGGACCTGAAATAAGCTGTTCTAGAGGTAATTTTAATCAATACCGCCAGTTTCTACTAAACCAAATCTTTAACCTAATAATTCAAATCATGTTCTTAAATAGCCTCGTCAGATTTAAACTCTTATATAGATGCCATGCATGGCGTCTAACCTTTGTTTTCAAATGGCTTCAAGCAAGTGAACCCTGTAGGTATGGCACAGGGATCTATTTGGAAAATAAGTTAGAATAACCCAGAACTCTTACTGGGAGGAAATCGTTTGCATACGGATAGAAAATGAATTCACTAACTACATAAAAATAGACAGGGTGTGAAACAAGGATACGTCTTCTCCCCAGATTTATTCAACCTTTACAGCGACGTCGTTCTAAGAAAATTGGAGACCCTACCAAAATTTATTATCGGTGGGTGTGAAGTTAATAATATAAGCTAGGCAGATGACACTGTGTTGATGGCTGGCTCGGAAAAAAAAAACTAAAGGACTTCCTAGACAGGGAACTAGAAGAAAGCATGAAGGAAGCATTAACGATCAGCTGCAAGAAGACAGGAAGCACAGTGGCGTAGCCTGGGGGGTGGTGACGTTTACTCTAGCTACGCCACTGAGGAAGCATGATCATCAGCAAGAGAAAAAGCCCGGTATGTGAGTTACGAATTGGAGATATAAATATTAAGCACGTGCAGAAGTTCAAATATCTGGGAAGCATTTTATAACATAAATATATAAATAATATAAAAGCGATACCGAGGTTCGAACACGCATCGGACTAGCGAAAGAGGCATTCCAAAAGTTAAGCAGGGTGCTGAGAAACGTTAAAAATTAATTTTAAACAAAGAAAAGAGTACTGGATTTCTGTGTGGTATCCATTCCCTTATACGGCAATGAATGCTGGACAATCTCCCCTCGGATGAGAAAACTATAGGCAGCAGAAATGTGTGGTACGAAAGAAGGTTACTGAAAATTTCGAGTAAGCAAAAAAGGAAGTCTTGAAGAAAATAGCAACAGAAAGAATACTTCTACTCAGAATCAGGAAAAGATAAATGAAATTCGTTGGACACTATCACAAGTAAAAGAAGTTTGGTAAACGTAAGCCTGACAGGGCATATTGAGGGCAAGAAAGATAGGTGAAGGCAACAAGTCACTATCTGACTGTATAGAAGATGAAGGTCTTAAAGAAAGATATATTTCATTAGATCTCATAGACTGGCGATATTCAGTCACCTCCCCACGAGGGTGTCATGTGGCATAAGGCCTTTTTAACGTGGGCATTCCGAGCCCGTGGGCTCGGCCAAAAATATGCCCATTGAACCCGTATAAACGGGTTCAGGGCCGGTCTACCTCCCCGAAGGAGACTCCGCCCTTCGGCGTAGCCTCCTTCGGGTTCCTCCCGTCCGTAGGAAGAGAGTTCAACCGAACAGTTGCTCAGAAAGTACTGCCTCGACTGATCTCATAGAATGGCGCTCCAGACGTATAAAAAGATTTACCGGAAACCATATCACTTTAAGACTTTCAACAACAGCGGCAACAACTGCAATAACACATGTAAGTAGAATGGAAAATAAGGATTTAATCAAAATGTTGACTTTCCACACTACCTTAAACAAAAGGTTAGGAAAGAAACATCAGCACTAGAATGGCTGAAAATAGTGGACTTGAGAAACCCTAAAATCTGTTTTTAACATTTTATAAATTTCATCTGACAATAACGCTACCTGATTAGTAAATAAATGCCGAATGTCTCCTTATAAGGAAACGGCTAATCCCCCATTACTATTTATCACCATTTTCTCTTTTTCTCTATCTCTCCATAAGTCCATTATCTTTCAGTTTTCTTCTCCTTTTCTTTGTCTTCATGTCTATTTTCTTTCTTTCTTTAACTTTCTCTGACTCCACAACCCTTGTATCTATCGATTTTCTTTCTACCTTTATGATTGCCAAATCTTTAATCACATTTTCTCTTTCCTCTGTCTACCAGCTTTCGATTTCACTTCAATTCATCCTTGAACTCAATCATTTTCAATTTTACTGCTCTTCTCTCTCCATAAATCCAATACCCGTCGACCCCTCTTTACATTTTTTGTTCTCTTTTTCATCAAAGTTCTACCTTCCCACGTTTCACAAGCCTTGTACCTTCCAATGGTTTTGCCCTCTCTTCCAGCTTCACTGAGACGTTTCGACATGAGGTAATGGTTAGCGAAGACATTGATTGACCATTACGATGAAATAGGAAGTTGATCCTCACTGGGTGGCCCGTTCAAAATTCGACATTAAACAACCAGTTAAGGGTTTTTATGTCGTAAATTCCATCAACTAAATCACCATCACTGTTATTCTTCTTTCTCTTAACAAACCATCTCTCTCAATTTCTCTTCACCTTTGCTATTTTTTTTATCTCCACACTTTTTCTCTGTCTCTCTCCACAAGCCCTCCGTGTCTCAATTTCTTTTACCATTCATCTTTACACTCTCTATCATCTCTCTCTCGTTCTCTCTCTCTCAATCTCTCTCTCTCTCTCTCTCTCTCCATCAACCAAATACATTCTGATTTGTATTCACCATCATCTTCACTCTCGTTTTCGTCTCCAGTCTCTCTCTCTTTCTCTCTCTCTTTATCTCCTTTCACAAATTTTCCTAATCTTCATAGCAAGCTAAAAACTATGATAAAAAAATCCAATTGACTCTTTTGTTGAAGGGCGATTTGCCCACCTTTGCATTTTTCAAACCGTCTGTCCAAGGCTACAGCCCGAGAACGGATATTCTTTTTCTACGCCCACCATTTATCACCTTCACTGCAAAGAAAACCCAAAGAAAAGCCGGGAGCGGTGGACAAAGATCCATTTTTACCCCCATCATACCTCGACTCCTACAGAAACTTTCTACACAAGCCGCATTTGTGATGTGACTAATTATTTTATTATTTTTTATTTTTTGAGTGGTTCTGGTCTGTGTTCCTTCTGCCACTGAACATTGATTCTGTCCATCCACTTCCTCTGACACAATCCCAAAGCAATCTCAAACCCCAGCTCTGTCCATTTTCCCCACTCTCACCGGATCTGATCCGGAGTTCTCTAAACAAAGCAAAGAATAAAAAATAAGACATAATTTAAAAAAAAAAAACCCAACTAACGTAATCAGTCACCTTGCAAGTGTGGCCAATGTAAGACTTTATGTTGTGCAGTATGGAGGGGAAGAGTTCAGTTTATGTTCATTTTTTTATCTCCCTTTTATCTTTTTTTTCAAATTCTTTACACTTGTTTCTTTTATCTTCTTTTTCTTCTTATTTAATTCTTTATTTTTCTCTTTTTATCCTTTTTCCTTCGTTTTTTAATTTTTATCTTCGTTTTTTATAATTCCTTTTCAGCATTGCTTATTATTATTATTATTATTATTATTATTATTATTATTATTATTATTACTTCTACTACTACCTTGTGTCTTATTCTTCTATTTTTCTCTACTATTTTTTATTGATCCATCATTTTGGCTGCATCCTGTTATTATTCAAATTAATATCTCCATCCACTTCCTTTCCCGCCTTTTTTAATCTCTTTTTTTTTTTTTTTTTTTTTTTTTTTTGTCTTTTTATTCTGCTACGGTCATTTTTTTATTCTCTTTATTCTTTTTTATCATTATGCATTGTTGTTCTTTTTTCCAGCTTCCAATTCTTCTTGTCCGGTTCATCTTATTAATTCCTCCTCTCCTTATGGTTCTTTCCATTTTCTTCTTGGCGCTTTTTTTCTCCTCATTTTTCTTTTTTTTCTTCGTTTCTTCTTTATCTTCCTTCAGCTTTTCCTCATCTTCTTACGTTTCCACTTCTTTTTCTCCTTTTCTTTATTCCTTTCATATTTTTTTTATTTTTCATTTATTTTTCTTCTAATTTTCTTCATTTTTTCATCTCAGTTTTATCTTTTTTCGTTTCCTCATCTTTTTCCTACTTATCCTTTAATCTTTCTCATTTCATTTAATTTCTTCTATCGTACAAGTTTTACTTCTTTGGTTCTTCTTTTTCACCTTCTCTTTCTTCTTTTTCCGTTTCTTCCTTTTCTTAATTTTTCTCTTTTGTTTTTCTTTGCCTTTCTCCTTTTTTTTTTCTAGTTCTTCTCTTTATTTCATAGTATTCCTCTCGTTTTTCATTCTTTTTTCTTTCTCTTTTTTCCTTTCCTTTCTGCATTTTCCTCGCTTTCCTCTTTATCTTTCTTTGTTTCTTCTTCTCTTCTTTGTCCTCTTTTCACTTAAACCTTCTCTTTCTTTTTCCTTCGCCCGTTTCTTCTTTTTCCTCACTTTCCTCTTTTGTAATTCTTCGCTCCTATTATACTGTCTTTCCCTTTTTACTATTTTCCCTTTTTTTGTTCCCTATTATTTTCTCTTTCTTCTCTTTTTCTTCTTTTTCTTTCCCTTTCCACCTAATTTCTATGTTTTTCTTTCTAAATCGTTTTTATTGCACTTTCTGCTTCTATTTAACTTATTTCCATTCCTTCCTTTTCATCTTTGTTTTTTTTTCTGTTTCACCTTCTACCTTCCCCCTTCTGCTTGCTTTTTAAGCCTTTTGCTAATTCCTTTTTTATTTTTAATGTATAAAAACTGCAGGGAAATATTAGTTCTGGCCAATGCTGCGTTTGCGTGTGTGAGATTTAAGAAAAGGTTTTCTCCAGTAAAAATATTATCGGGACAAAACAGGAAAAACATAGAATGCGAATAATTAGGAACTTCACAGTAAGACAATATTTGCGAAAGTAATAAATATATATATATAGATAGATAGATAGATAATGAAATGGATTAAGTCCGACAATTATTTAATATATTTTCTTTTTACACGTTATTTAATAGATACAATTTTTCAGTAAATTTTTCTGTTTTTTCCTTTTTTTTTTTAAAATAAACAGTATGCAACTACCGGCCTGAATGTTCGAGAAATTTCATAGAAAATATGTGTTATCTGACAGGAATCGAACCCATTTCCTATACGGAACCGTCAAATGATCTTTGCTAACCAGACGTTTGTCTGTAGCTGAGTGGTATAACACGTGAAAAAAAAATAAAAAAAAAAAAAACAGGGCATTTATTTACAGAAATTGTATCTGTTAAATAATGCATAAACAGTATATATATATATATATATATATATATATATATATATATATAGTATTAAAAAGAAGATAAACCGCAAACTTTTTGGGTTGAAATGTGAATTATTTTAAAATAAAAAATCCACATTTCAACCAAAAGACGTTTGCAGTTTATCTTCTTTATAATATATACACTTTTCTCTCATTTGGAGCAACTTTTAACTTTCTATATATTATATATATATATATATATATATATATATATATATATATATATATATATATATATATATATATATATATATATATATATATATATATATATATATATAGTCGTTTTTATGTTGGTTTCTATGCTTACTGGTTTTCGGTTTTTTCTTTTCTTTTGACGGTTTAAGTGTGTGTGTGCTGATGGAGATTTTTAAATATTTTACATTCATTATACATGAATAGAAATGAGATTCATTTTCGTCATTGGATGCACTTTTTATTTTCAAAAATGAAAAGTAAATTGTTTATGGATATGGTGGCATAGCTGAGAGTATTGTACGTAAGTAGTTCGATCGTTTCGGAAGTGTAAATTTTGAACTGGAAGATAGAAAACGTTTCTAAAGGCTTGTAGTTTTTGATGATTACCAATCGAAAATGCTCATTAAAAATAATCTATAACACACGGGACATCGCAAAGATACTCCAATTATCCCATGTGAGATTTGTAAAGCATTTGAAAACACTTGGATAGATGAATCGGTATGATATCTATGTGCTTCGCGCTTTAATAGGAAAAAAATAATTGCCCGCATTTCCATCAGCGATTCTTTGCGCAAACACAACAAAACAGTCCATTTATTAAATGAGCAAACACAAGCGATGAAAAATTGATTGTTTACAATAATTTAGGGCAAAAGAAATGGTCATGAGGAAAATTAGCCACCATTAACCAGTGTGAAAGCCAGTCTGTATCCGAAGCTGCTGTGCAAATGGAGAGCACGAGCTCCTTCGGCAAAATCAGCCGTTGATCTCGGCAAATACTGTTCCCAACTGAAATGTTTAAAGGCAGCTATCAATGAAAAACGTCCGAAATTGGCCAATTGGAAGGATGTGGTTTTCCATCAGGACAACGTCAGATTTCGTATCTCTTTACATACCTGACGGAAATGAGTATAGCTTGGTTGGGATTTCCTGCAACATTCATTGTATACACTTGATCTTGCGTCTCCGGATTACGACATATTTCGATCCTTACAGAATTCTCTTAATGGGAAGAACTCGATATTGAGCACTATAAAATGTACAATTAGTTCATGCCACATTGACTGATAAACTCCTACAACAAAAAATTCTCAAATTGTCATATTAATAAAAATAAAAAAAAACACTCTTAAATTTTCAAAAAAATTCAACCTTAGCGTTGCGACTGCACGCTTCAAAAGTGTGTATCCGTTAACATTTAATATATATATATATATATATATATATATATATATATATATATATATATATATATATTTCGATTCGCATTTAATTTTTTTTCGTCTCGGATGCTACCTGAATTTTACAAAAACAAAATAATTTCCATGCCTGAGGATGACTGGATGTACAGTTTGAAGAACGTGCGAAAGACCTTATACAGTTTATAATTTTTAAAAACAAGGTTCATAACATTCATCGAGTGATTTTTAGGTTAATGTACCTTTAAAATTTTGTTTGCGAAAGGATTTTGCCATTTTATATCATTAATTTTACTAATCTACTTTTTGTATGAATGATTTATTGTAATATAAATTGAACTGCACCACATTTTTTGATATATATATATATATATATATATATATATATATATATACTCTAAAAAAACAAACATTTTATTTATTTTTTTATATATATATATATATATATATATATATATATATAATGTGTGTGTATATATATATATATATATAGAGAGAGAGATAATAAAAATAAATAAAAATGTTTGTCTCTTCAGAATGTTGCGTCCACTCTTTAGACGCGATTGTAAAAATTTATTGTTATACACTAAGGTCTTCTGAAGAAATTATGTAATATACTCTCTGAGTATAGAGGCAAGAAAAGTGAACATTTATTCTTATTCATCATTATTAATGCAATATCGCTTCATATTTGGTACTTTAATTGCTAATACCGTTTGACTCAAATACATTATCTCATCATTATATTTGTTATACATATCCGCTCGTTTTTTTTTCTGATATTCTGCGACTGATACCGATGAATAATCTTTCCGAGCATTTTTTGTTTCTTTGTAATTCTGGTCATCCTGTGAAACTGTTGTCTAACGTTATTGAAATTTTATTTCAGCTGAGACACACCTTTGAGATGGAATGCCAAGTAGACAAGAATGCACATGTTCGACATCTTTTTCACTTTAATCAAGGACACAAAACTCCTGAAGGTGCTCGAGATATTTTTGCTGTGTACGTGGATGAAATGCTTCAAAACAACTAAACTGTATGTTGAACAAGTGAACAGGCTCAAAGAGACTTGACCAGTGATATAGTGTGATTATTCAACATGACAATGCTCGTTCCCATGTCGCTAACAGGACCAAATATGCAATTAAAGCGCTCGGTTGGGAAGTTCTGCCACACCCACCATATTCTCCTGATTTAGCTCCTTCAGAATACCACTTTTTCAGTCAGTTTCTATCAGTTTGAGGGGTGTGTCGTTCAACAGCGATGTCGGGCTTAAAACGTAGCTCCATACGTCAAAGTGAGTGATTTAAATCATATATCACATAACAGTTAATGAATCATTGGCAAGAGGTCGTAAACAATAAAAGAGAATAATTGTTGAAAGATTCATCATAGCTATTAATAAATAGTTATTAGAATAAATGACAAAAAAAGCGAATGAATTCATGTAACAATCTAATATATATAAATGAGAGAGGTTATGGCTATAAGAAAAGACTGTTAAAGGATACCATTAAGTAGACGTGTCTCTAACACACTAATTGTAAACTATAATTTTTATTGCATTGAATACTTTTTTTTTTTATTTCAGGTTAATGCCAACCACTTTATTGTAGAGGATTGCCAAACAACGCCAGTTATAATAGAGGGGTGAGTACTTGTTTATATGAAATAACAAGATGTCAGAGGCATGATGTTAATAAAAATTGCTTTAGACCATCTTCTTCTACACGCCACTGGTGAATCTTGTATGTGTTGTTCTTGTCCTAAGTATTATCGTTCATTGCCAACCTTCATTTGACTATTCTATTCAATAACCTTTTCTAGGTTAGAACAATAATGCAGATTCATAGATACATTTATTGTGTTATATTGCACTATATAAAGATGATTCCTAATTTTGTAACCTCAATGTGATTTTTAAGCAGGTAAGAATTAAAGAAGGTTTTCTTACTTTGATTTATTCTTATATCATTAGGTTCTATCAAATCAACTTTCAGATTCATGGACTGAGTGGGGGATGATGTTCTGTAATTATTTGTTTAGTTTTAAAATCTTAGAAATAAATATCTGTGCCATTTAGGATTTTTATTGCCTGTGCATGAATTATCGTTTAAAATCTGTTTTCAAAAAAAAATTTTTATGGTGCAACTAATTGCTGAATAAACAATGCACATTCAATATTGTATCCTCTTCATGTTTAATTTTGTTAAAAATGGAACAGATGCTGTGCAGTAGTACAGTGAGGATTATTGTAATTGTAATTTCAGTTGGTGCAAGCATGGGATGGTTTGCTAAGGAGGTGAAGTAACAGATAATAGAAAATGTGATAGATAAATCCAAAGTGAGAGATGTCTTCTAAAACCTAAATAAAGTATTAAGACAGAAAGAAAGGTATACTGAAATGCTATTTAATATATAATCTTGTACATCATAGTGAATGAGTCTCCTTAAAGAATAAACTTGAATCAACAAAGTTTTTTTTTTATTTTCACTATTTATATTTGGACTATTATCTTCATCTTTGTTGCTGTTATCACAGGGTTTCAACTGTTCTGTCCCACCCCCTGCCTTCATCCCAGTGTACATAGCATGACTGGTCCTAGCTTTGATGGTCGAAACTCAGAACCTATAGGAACCAGTCTATTTAACCCAAAGCTAGAGTGAGTAGAGATACGTATCTTCCCCCAAGTGTATTTGCATGTGACTGGAATTAAAACATGTTTCTTCAATTTCTTATTCCAAGACAATATCCATTACACCCTTAATACTTCCAAGCTTACAGCAGCTGATATTTCTAAGCAGTCATATAAGCAGGTGTCTGATGCAGCTGCACTTAAAATATGCACACATGGGATGCCCACATGTCTATAAGATATATAAGCATCTCC